CAGATCTACCTCACTTCTGATCCTTTGTGCATTCTTTTTTATTTGATAACATGTTGTCTTCAATTTGTGCTGCCCATATACTTTTCAAGTGATTTTTACATTGTGTATATAGTTCTGGGGATCAAATGCAGCCCCTTCTGCCAACTGAGCTATTGCTCCAGCTTTCAGACAACATTTTTTCCACTGACTTTGGGAGTTCTGTATATTGTTTATAAAAAGCCACACTTGCATACGCCCTTTTGAAAGACAGACAGTAAGAATTTGTGGTTTTCATTTATTTAGCACAATTGGGGGGAACAGGTGACCAAGCTCTGAGGGTGTGAGAGCAGGAGAGCTGACCCTGCCACCCCTCCTTGTCTGCTATGTGGTGGCATGGGCGAGGAAAAGATGCTCTACATCCCTCACCCCTTTCCACCTGTGACAGGCAGGAGAGCTGTCCCCTGGGATCATGAGAGTGGGAAAGCTGGTCCTGCTCTTTACCAGCTGAAGCACACAGGAGGGCAGGTCCTAACCTTGCCTGGGAAGCATACTATAGCTGACCCTGTTGGCTGGGGTGCAGGTGAGCCAGCCCTGGGGAGATGAGAGATGGAGAGCTGACCCTATCATCCCCAACTATGCCACATGTGGCAAGGGAGAGGGAAAGATGCCCATCCCTGCCCCTTGCTACCTGCAGCAGGCAGGGGAGCTGGCCTTGGAGGCATGAGAGTGTGGGAGCTGGTCCTGCCTCTCAGTAACTGCAGCACTCGAGATAGAGTGGGTCTTGCAACTCACCTGGGCAAAACAGTAGAGCTGGCCCTGGTGGTATGGGTATAGGTGAGCCAGACTCGAAGGCCTGAGAGCAGGAGAACTAGCCCTGAATCTGGGTGTCAATGAGGAGGCCTAGGGAATCTATTGAGCCTTGGGCAGCAGATAAGTACCCATCCCAAGTATACACACGGACTTTGGACTCCCATAGAACAATGTGAGTTACACTCTCACCCTGAACTCTTGGGGAAGGGTCTAGGCCCTACCCTATATGGAATGACAGACTATGGACACCCCCATGGAGGGCCTCACCCTCCCTGGGGGAATGAGGGGATAACGGGGGGGGGGGTTGGGGGGATGGCACGGGAGGAGGGGAGGGAATGGGAGCGGGACCTGGAACTGACTTGTGAAGCAACCTCGTTTCTTATCTAAATTTAAACTGGAAAAAAAGAAAGTTATTTGAATGCATGTTAAACATTAATGTAATTTTTGAAAGGTTATATCTGTTTTTTTTACCAAAATGAATCTGGAGAAAAAAATAAAAAAAAATAAAAAGAAGGAGGGAGATGTTGGTCCCCAGCCCCATGGGGTCTCTGTGAGTTGCTGGTCAGCCTACATGTGCAACTTGTTTTCCAGTCCAAGTGCATCTAGTTTTCTAGTCCTGGCTTCCTGCCTTGGCCTTTACCCTCTGACATCAACATCCAGCAAGAGGACAACACACTCTCTTCCACCTGGTGTTTTTCCACTGTGCTGTAAGGCTGTATATAAAGCTGCTCCCTCCTACAAGAGAGACACCTCTTAGCTCTTGCTTTGGCTTTCATATAATTAAACAGAAATGTTTGTATGTGCTCTCTCTCTCTCTCTCTCTCTCTCTCTCTCTCTCTCTCTCTCTCTCTCTCTCTCTCTCTCTCTCTCTCTCTCTCTCTCTCTCTCTCTCTCTCTCTCTCTCTCTCTCTCTCTCTCTCTCTCTCTCTCTCTCTCTCTCTCTCTCTCTCTCTCTCTCTCTCTCTCTCTCTCTCTCTCTCTCTCTCTCTCTCTCTCTCTCTCTCTCTCTCTCTCTCTTTCCCCCTGGCAGCACATTCATTCTCTTAGTACAAACAGCCGGACGTCTTGTCTTTCTTTTCCTGGTACCTTGGACTTGCTTGTGTCGCGGGGGCCACAAGTGACTGTAGTCATACCTAGTGACCTGCAATATTGCCTGGCTACGAGTAGAATTTCATAAATAATAAATAATGACAGCGTTCAAAAGAAAATTAATAAAATTTTAAGAAAGCAGGTTATAACCACCTTTAAGAAGTGATCTTTACCATGCTGGAGAAACCCACAGAAACAACTGACCCAAACAAGGGGAGCTCATGGACTCCAGTCTGACAGTAGGGAAACCAGCATAGGACCAAACCAGGCCCCCTGAACGTGGGTGTTATTTGGGAGGTCTGGGGCATACTATGGGGCCTCTGGCAGTGGAACCAGTATTTATTCCAAGTACATGGATTTTAGGAGCCCATTACCTTTGGAGGGATAATCTTTCAGCCTAGATACATGGGGGAGGGCCTAGACCCTGCTCCAAATGATGTGACTAACTTTGATGATCCTCCATGGGAGGCCTTATCCTCCCTGAGGAGTGGATGGGATGGGGGGTTGGCAGGGGGCATGGCAGGATGGGAACTGAGATTGGTATGTAAAATAAAATTGCTTTTAATTTAAGGAATAAAAGGAAAAAAAGAAGTGGTCTTTTAAAAGTTAATACATTTTGTGTATGAAGCAGACATAATATTGTATGTTTAATGTTGATTATTCTGCTCAATATATTCACTTAACAATTACCTTTTAAATATGCTTTGTATTTAAGAAATAGCTTTGAAACTGCTTCCTTTTACTATGTTGCACGAGTATTATATTTAAAAACGCATTTTAAAAAGTCTAATCTGAAGGCAGATCTTTAGCAAGCCAATTCTACCTTTTTTTTAAATTTTCATTTGCACTTACTAATTCACTTGTCTTGAACTCAGGGAGTTACTACAGATAATTATGCTAATACTAATAACAATTGTAAGAATTAGGATGGTTTGGATGGGATGAATTCTGGCACTCGGGCACCACAGAATACTGAGTGTTACAGCGCAGATGGAAAGGAATTCTGGCAATCCGGAGCCAAGGAATATCACAGGTCACAGTAAGCACAGCAGCTTACAGCCCTGCTTAAGGGAAAGGCTTCCCTAACACCAGAGAATGGCTTCTCAGATGTAACAGCTCTGCTCTGGCAGGAGAAGGCTTTCCCAGCGAAGTTGTTATAGTTCTCCTCCAGCTTAGGTCCCCTGGGATGTAGTGTTACAACTCTGTTTCCCTAGGGAAAGGTTACCTGGCCAAAGCAGGCTCAGCTAGCTCAGCTCTGCTGTGTGCGGTTCTGGTGAAAAGTTGTTACTTCTCTCCTCTGCTCCATTCCAGGGATGGAAGGTCTCACCCAAACCTCATTCAAGAGATTTATTGGAAGGGAAGAATCCTGGAGTGTGTCTGCCTCTGTGGAGTTTTTCTAGGTGGACTAGATCTCCTGCTCAGGGATTGGTTAGTTTTTTGCACAGGTTTAGGGTCAGATTTGGCTCTGGTTTTAGGGTCAAAGTGAGTTTCGATCACTGGTCATTTTAGCCTTCTGGCTCTAATTTTAGGGCCAGGGTGTAATTTCTTCCACTAGCTCTCATTCCAGGGACAAATGTGTTTCTTTGGCTCTAGTTCCAGGACCAGGGTGCATTTCTTTGGTTCTGGTTGCAGGGACAAAGTGTGTTTCTTTGGCTCTGCTCAGGGTGTGTTTCTTTGGCTGGCCCTTCCCCCCCTACAGCTAAGACAGACACACTAATATAAAACATTCTCTAAGCATAGCAGGAAAGATGGAAAGGGATCCTGGCAGTCTGGAGACCAGGAATACCACACAGTCACCTTAAGCACAGCAGGTTCCAGCTCTGCTCCAGGGAAAGGTTTCCCAATGTAACAGCTCTGCTCCAGCAGGGGAGGGTTTCCCCAGCAAAGTAGTTACAGTTCTGCTCAGGTCCCTGGGAGTTTAACAACTCAGCTTTGCTAGGGGAAGGTTTCCCCAGCAAACACATAAAAAAGAAAAAAAAACCTTACACTTCTGCTCTGCTCCAGGGAAAGTTGTTCTCTGTTCTGCTCCATTCAGGCAATAAATGGTCTCACCTTACCCAAACTGCATTCAAAAGATTTATTAGCAGGGAAGAATCCAGGAGGTGGCTGCCTCTCTCAGGGTGGAAAATAAAAGAGCAGAGATTTTCAGAGTGGAGATTGGTCAGATTTGAATCCCTGAACTTGAACAAGCTTGGATTGGCTGATTTCATGCTCAATGGTTGACTGGTTTCGTGCTCAGGGATTAGTTAATTTTTGTGCTGTGTTTGGTCCACGACAGAGTGTGTTTCTTTGGCTCTGGTTTCAGGCCCAAAGGTGTGTTTCTTTCACTGGTCCTTTTTAGTCTTTTGCCTGTAATTTTAGGGTCAGGGTCTATTTCTTTTCACTGACTCTGTTTCTAGGGAGAAAGTGTGTTTCTTTGGCACTAGTTTTGGGGCCAGGGTGCATTTCTTTGGTTCTGGTTGCAGGGCCAAAGTGTGTTTTTTTTACTCTGTTCTGGGTGTGTTTCTTTGGCTGACCCCTTTTCCTTACAACAATAGCAGCTAATTTTTTTTAACCAAAGACTTTTGTGCTAGTGACCCCCCCAAAGGCTGTGCATACAATATTTGATTTTGATCACACTACGGGATACAAGAATTATCCCGTTCATGTATATTTACAAATTTAGTATGTTTAAATGTAAGAAACTACAAAGCACTAAGTTAGTAAATACACGAACCCGATAATGCTGCCGGTCCAAGTCCCTGCTTTAGGATACTAGAGCCTCACTTTTGCCATTTCCTATTTTTCACTACCTCTTGATGCTCCCCTTTCACGGGGAACCAGCAGCGCTCCTAGCTCCTCCTCCTCCTCCTTGCTGCTGCCTGGCTTTGGAAACCTTGACAACCAGGCTTCTCTCCTCCCAGTCTCGAGCCTTCTCTCCTACCAGATGGAACTCTGGGCTGGCTGAATCCCGGGACCAAATGTACGCTAGGTACTTTTCTCGTGCTTTCCCTAGAAACACTGCCACAAAAGTCTCAAACTTGAGGCGCAAAGCGCGGGCGGCAAAGCTGATGCGCACGCGCATGCGCGGAATCGTTGCGCCTCGCTTCTGGGCGGGGCCAAACCAGTCAGTCAGGCATCTCCAAAGGCAGCGGCAGCCGGCGCGGAGCGGAGCGCTTCTCGCTTCTCTCCGCTCCGGCTCGCGGTAAGCGGGAGCGGCTTCTTTTCTTCAGGCTTTTGGAAGGGCAAATAAGCTTTTCAGAGGGGGAAGAGTTCGTGGTTCTTTCACAATGTCTGGTGAGTCGGGTCAGACCGAGGCTGGGCCGTCTCACGCTGACCCCAGTTGGCAGCACCCTGAGAGACATCAGGCCGCGGTCCCAGGAGGAGTGATCCGAAGGGCTTCTGGCCAAAGGCACAAGTCCTGGATCCAACAGGTTATTGAACAAATAGCCGGCTCCCCTAAACAGTGTGTCACCGTCGCTGAAGTGATGCCTGTCAGTGTACTGGCCGTCCAAAGATACCTTTTACAGGACGAGCCACGGGACACGGTGCCCAAGCCCCCCCTTTACTGCTATGATGTGACAATCTCAGATGGGGTGTACCAGGAGAAGTGCTACTTAGACCCCAGTTTAAATTTTCTCGTTAATCAGAATATTCTTAAAGTTGGCATAGAAATAAGAATTTCCAAAGTCTCGTTTCTTTACAACGAGAAAAGATTGGGTCAGGGAATCCTGTGCATAGATAAGGTCCACTGTGGGGAGTCCCTAGATTTTGTTCCTGTAGAAACTCCATTCAGAAACAGAGCACACGAGGAAAAGCCCGAGAGGCCTCTGAGAGGAGGCAGGAGTCACTACCTGGCTCTGTGGAACAACGAAGATCCATACGGAGATATCTGGAAGTCCAACAAGCAACCTGAGGAATTCAATTTTAGAAGTAAGTAATTGGCGGGAACGGAGGCAGGTTTTAAAAAAATGTTCAGAGCCTGGCGTGGTGGCATACACCAGAAAACCAGCACTTGGGGAGACAGAGACAAGAGAATTGAGGGTAAATTCCAGGATAGTCTCAAACCCAGAGAGACACCATGTCTCAAAAACAAAGAGCAACAACAACAGCAAAATGGCTAAGTGTTTGGAAACTTGTGCTAGCAGGAAAAGAAAATATTTTGCATTTATTGCTCATTACAAGCCAGGAGGGGTAAAGTGTCTTAACTTCGTGCAACCTGTTCCTCTTGGTTTGATTGCAAAGTGATATTCTTGAAATTCCTGACTGTGGTTTAAATTTAGTTTGGCAAAAAGATTGAGGACTTGGTTTTCAGTACTTCTTCTGTGTTCGATATATGTGTGTATGTGTGTGTGTGTGTGTGTGTGTGTCTGTGTGGTTTAATAAATCTTAGTTGCAGTCCAAGTTGTAAAATATATGTGTGTGTCTATGTGTGTGTGTGTTGAAAGAGTGTATTTATTTAGATTTTACATAAAACCATGCAGCATTATATGTTTTAAAATTTAACATTTATTCAAAGGAAATGTTCAGTGATGTGATAATTTACACTAAAACACGCTGTTTATGTCATTGAATGTAAAAGTCAGATGAGTATTACTTTTAGAAGTTGTGATGATTGTAGAAAGGCTTCAAATGATCATTTTTCTCAATACAGGAAGTTCATATTTCCTGTATCAGAAGTAGGAAGTTAGCCTGAAAATGGCAGTTTGTCATCAATAAGTGCTCTTTTAAAAATCTTTTTTTATTAACACATAATATTAAGGCAGATGATAACACTACAGGCTAAACACATAAGATATAGGAGCAAAAACACAGAAAAATAAAAAGGCTGTAATTTTCTATATTTACTGTTTTAGATATTTTTTTTTTATTTTTGGAGGCAGAGTCTCATATATCCCTGGCTTGCCCCAAACTCCTGTGCCTCCTGCCCCTGTCTCCCAAATCCTGGGATTATAGGAGTCCTTGACTATTACCTGAGGATCCATGAGGATTTCCTGCATGCAAAGCCCAGCCCCACCCCATTTTCTCTTTATATTGTTATCACAGTGCTAAGCCATGGGGCATCTTACCATAACAAGGAAGAGCCACAAATTTGAACATTCAAAGATAACTGATTCAAAAATATGAATTTATAGTCAGATCCACTCAAAATGAGAAAAAAAGATATTAGAAATATGTAACCAATGATTGCTTAGCTAAGACATAAAAGCAAAATAGCGGTGGTATAAATGTTGTTCATTTATACTTTTAGAATTTAATTTATAAAAGGACAACTGACTCAGAATTTAAAGGGGGCTAATAATTATATATTATATATGTATAAATCAAACATAAAAGCATATTTGATTTCTGTTCTTAAGATAGTCATATACATTAGCTATAAATGTGATATTACAAAATGCAATGTCCATGTGCTAATAAATTCAAATTGTGTATTTTAAAATATATTGTGTTAAAATTGAGAGGTCTGAGTATATTAAAACCATGGTAGTAAAATCTAGGAAGTGAGTAATATCAGGACTTCATATTTATTGTGTATTTAAAATTGTACATAATAAAATTTGGAATGTAGTGGAATGCATCTTTAACCTTCATATGCTTTCAACATTTATATAAAAATTGAAAACTTAAGAGTTGGTGTACATTTTTGAAAACATAAACCTAATTATGTGATATTCCCACATAATGCATTTCAGACACCTCTTGGGTATTTCTATAAATATAATGTTCCACAGTATAAAAATATGGTAACTTCTATAATTGTACCCATGTAGTTAAGAATTTTTATTATTTTAAGCTTTCTCAACAGTGCCAAATATAAGTAAGATGTGTGAGTATTGATTGTTATTTGAGTATTTCTGTTGAAAGGATAGATTCCTAGAAGTGGAATTGCAGAATTAAAGAATATCTGAGGGTTTTTTAAACTCATTGGGTACTGATAAATTATTATGAAAAAATTGTACTAATTTAAATTGAGCAACATATGTCTGAGTGTCCATTTCTCCATATCTTGCTATTTGAAAAAAGTGTCCTTTGGCTTTGTCCTATTTTTCTTTCTAGACTTAGGAACTGAACGTGAGGTCTCCAGTGTTCCTCAGAGGAAGGACTTTATAGCTAAGCCACATGCCAAGCTTGTCTTTTTATTATTTAGTTACTGAATGTCTTTGCTAAATAGGTATTAAGTTTGTGTGTGCTGCAGATTATTTTGTGGTGTCTTGTCTCTTTTCTGTAAACTTTGCTTATATTCTGTGCCTTTTAACTTTACACAGTAACATGAAAAGGGTTTATACAATCCTATCAAATATAGTCTTCCATGTGGTTATATGTTCACTCTCCCATCAAGATCTAGAAAACTTCAGGCACCCAGATAGATTCTGTATTGATCATTCCTCATTTACAGCCTACTAAATAGCACATCAAGTTGAGGTAGGACCCAGCTCCTCCCCCTGCATCAAGGCTGGACAAGGTAATCCAGCATGGGGAACGGGTTCCCAAAAACCAGCTAAGTGCCAGGAACAGGTCCTGGTCTCACTGCTAGGAGCCTTACAAACAGGCAAAGCAAAACATACATGCAGAGGGCCTAGGTCAGTCCCATGCAGGCTTCCTAACTGTTGGTCTGGTGTCCATGAGCTTCCATGAGTTAAGGTTAGCTATCTGTATGTGTTCTCTTGTCATGACATTGACTGCCCCTCTCCCCTGCTCATACAATCCCTCCACGCTTTCTTTAGCAGGACTCATGGTGCTGGGTCCAGTGTTTGGCTGTGCTTCTGTATCCATCAGTTACTGGATAAAGGCTCTCTGATGACTATTAGGATAGTCACCAATCTGCTTATCAATGACCAGTTTAAGCACCTTCTCCACTATTGCTAGGAGTCTTAGCTGGGGTCATCCTTGTAGATTCCTGGAAGAAACCACACTTTTAACAACACTGAACCAATGTATCTTTTTTCTGTCTTTAATTTCAGTTTTGTTCCATATTTGTATTTTCTAAGACAGACACTGTTAAAATTCATGTATGGGAGCACTCATGAGTATGTGGGTAGATGGTAGTGGTGTTCTGAACATGTGTGTGCATAACTGGAGTTCAGAGGTCAAACTCAAATAATATTACACAGAAATATGAGTATAGGTATTTTGATTGCATGTGTACCTATGTAACACATGATTGTCTAGTGCCCACAGAGTCCAGAAGAAGGTGGTAGATCCCCAAGAAATGAAATTACAAATAGTTGGGAGCTGCTGCTGGGTGATGGGAATCGAACCTTGGTCCTCTGAAAAAGCAACCAGTGATTTTAAATGATGAGTCCTTTCTCCATCCCCAAGAATCTATTTTCTATTAAGCTAAAGTGACACATACTAATGTAAAACAGTCTCCTGCATTTTTTGTTTCTCGTGTGTGTGTGTGTGTGTGTGTGTGTGTGTGTGTGTGTGTGAGAGGGGGGGTTGGGAGTTAAATCTAGGGCCTTATGCATTCTAGGAAGGTGCTGTACTACTGAGCTAAATTCTCCACCCTTCCAAATGTTGGTTTTTTATTAATCTTTTTGTCAATAGTGAGGATTGAATTCACAGCTTCATGCATAGTAGACCAGTGCTCTGCAAACTAACCTGCATTCCCTAGTTCTGATTTTATTTGAAAAAAATAGTCATTTTTCAAAAGGATGTTTGTAGTAATGTATTTAGATTTATAATGAAATGAATTAATGGTTTCTTCAGTTCTAAATGTGTAAGGTAAATACCAACTAATCAGTATAACTGCATAAACAAAAGCTCTTCTAGGTATTTAATATATTTTGGGCCAGGCATGGTGTCTCATACCTTTTTTCTGAGATCTCAAGAGTCATAGGCAAAAGAATCTTTGAATTTGAGGCCAGCCTGGGCTACATAGCGAGTTCCAGGACAGCCAGGGATATATAGAGATACAGTGTCTCAAATAACCTCCCCCACAATAAAAGGTATTTACTAATTTTTTTAGAATGTTAAAGGGTCTTAAGACTTAAATTTTTGACAAGAACCATTCCATTGCTTATTGTTTAAATTTTGCATTGAGTATCCAAGTTCTTTTTGTTCTTTCTTGATAATAAAGCATATAATTACAATGAATTTACAGATTAACTCATTATCTGCAATTTAGGTGTGAGAATTATCTATGTTCCATAAAGATTTTTAAGTTAAAAACACACTCTTGGAAAGCTGTCAACTGGCCAACTGATGTCTAAACACAGCCAACCGAAAAACATGTATGTTTTGAATTAGTTTCAGCCTATAAATAAAGGAGCTGCATCCTCCTTACTCAAGTGTGCTCCATTTTCAGTGTAGATAATTCAAAGCTTTTCTGTGATTTGACTATATTGCAAAGGAAATTGCTTAATTTCATCATATCAGCTATTAGGGACTCTGAGTCTGTGCTAGTAATATATTTTGAGAATCTGCAAGTTAAACTATCCATAGTGATTTTAATATACTGCAAATTTGGTTTTTATGAGTTATAGGAATAATTAAAACATTTAAATTTATTGAAAATAAATTATAAGTATTACTTTCTTGCTGAAATAATGACTAGTAAATACATTCTATAAATGGAAAGGGAGTATATTTCAACAAATATATATTATATATGTATATATAATACATAGAGGTTGTGATACAAATTTAGGTTTTAAAATTGATATTGTAGGCTTTGAAAACAAAATGTAGAGAGAATTGGAGATGAAACACCCTTTAATGATAGAATACTGAAATCAGGTTTATAATTTAATCCTTAAAGACGGTGAACAGTCTTTAAACAATTTTTGTTCTCCTTCAGACCTGGAGATTAAAATGTTTCAAAATAAATTATATGGTGTATGTTCAAATACTAAGTACTATATGGGAAAACAGAGTGGGTGGAAATTCCATAAGGGGTTAGTTTCAGTGAGATTGTTAGCAACATCACTGAGAAAGCACCCCTTGAGCAAAATTTTGGAAATGGGAAGAAGGAAGTCACTTATATATCTAAGAGGGAGACACTACCAAAACAGAGGAACAAGTGAGAAAACAGAGAAGGTGGCACCTGTACCCATGAAACAGAAGTGAGGACACTACAGAAAAGTGTCAGAAACAGTTCTCTAATCTACTGTAAGTAGTGCATGCATGCATCCCCAGCGTCTGTTTTGATGAGTCAGGAGTATCATGAGTTCCAGTTCAGCCCAGACTGAGTAAATAAAAAATAGATGTGCATGTGTGTGTGTTTGTGTGTATGTGTGTTTCCGTGCATTCACATGCTTGCATATAAATGTAGGCTTGTAGGCTTACATGTACCTTGACCCGTGTGTGGAGTTCCATTTTGTCATCCTCAGGAAGACTATCCACCTCTTTGAAGACAGTACCTCTTGTTGGCTTTCGACTCACTAATTCAGCTAGACTGGCTGGCCAGTGAGCCTCAGGACACCTCCTTCCTCCGCCTTCCCTGTGCTGGGATTACAAATGTATGCCTGGCATTTTTACATGGGTTTAGTGATTGAGCTGAGGTCCTTGCACTTGTAAGGCAAGCATTTTACCAATTGAACCATCTAATCCCCAATGCCCCAACTTTTAGTTTTTGAAAGATAAGTAAGTATATTGATTAAAGGAAAAATTGATAGGAGGAAAACATCAAGAGATGAATTTAGATCCAAGATTTGCATAATGTAATGAAATTGTTTAGTGTGGTAGAAGGCAAATTAAAGGAAACACTGTTTTACTTTATGTTAGTGTTTATCTAATTCCATATGGTAAGTCCTATAATATTTTTGTTGTATATAATTGATACTGGAGAACTACATAGACTCTAATTTAAAATTTTTAGAAAGACCATATTTAATGCTGCTCTTTCTTGCAAGCTATGTCTTTTTAACATTAAAATGGATCTTTGAAACTAAGATGACACAATAAATACAATTTTATCTTTTTATATTCTAGACATTAAAATAGTCTCACTCTCTCATCTTGAAATGACCTGGAATAGCAAAAAGAATTTTCCTGCCTTGCTTGTGAGGATCCTGCATAAATCAAAATTGAGATACTATGGAAAACCTCATAAGAAGACAATTGAGCCATATCAGGTACACGTAGTGCTTAACTAATGGATGTTAATTTAATTCATAGATAACATGAACACTTAAGTCTCTATTGGAAAAGTGTATTTGTTTAAATGACATTCCCCAAGTTCAGTTTAATTTAACTGCACATAGACTTTTTACTTCAAAGTATTTTTCCTTTTCTTCTCTCATACATTACATCCTGACCACAGTTTCCCCTTGCTCCACTCTTCTCAGGCCCCCTCAGCTTCCTCTCCCCCACAGATCCACTCCTCCTGTTTCTTATCCAAAAAAAGAGCAGACCTCCCAGGAATATCAGCCCAAACATAGCCTAGCAAGTTACAAAAAGACTAGGCATAAACCCTCATATCAAGGCTGGATGAGGGAACCCAGTAGGAAGGAAAAAGGTACCAAGATCAGGCAAAAGAGTCACAGACCACCCCACTTCTACTTTTAGGGGTCCCACAAGAACATCTGTCTACATAACCATAATGTATATGCAGAGAACCTATCTCAGAGATATGAAGACTCTGTGATTAAGCTTCAGTCTCTGTGAGCCCCATGAGCCCTGCTTAGTTGATTCTGTGGGCCATGCTCTCATGGTGTTCTGGACCCCTGTGGCTCTTTCACCTTCTGTGGGATTTCCCTGGCTATGTCTATTGTTTGGCTGTGGATCTCTGGATCTGCTTCCATCAGTTGCTGGAGGATGCTTCTCTGATGTCAAATGGGCTAGGCACTGATCTATGAGTATAACAGAAATCATTAGGAATCATTTCATTGAAATTCTTTTAGGAACCAGAGGGAAGAAAGCTAAAATATTTTGTATTAAAGATTATTTGGTGTTTGGCATATAACTCAGTGCTAGAGCACTTGCCTAGAATATGCAAAGCTGTGGATTCATTTCAGTTCCTAGCCCCTCAAAATGTATTTCAAAGGAAAAAGATCTGTTCAGTATGAAACAGAGATAGTTAGCTCCCTAGATTGGGATCTAGCTGGTCTATTTCACATTTTTTTTGTCTTTAATCTTTTCGTCTATGTGATTTCTGCACTAGAATGTAAGTAGGCTGTAGTCTCTAGTTGAAATTTTTTAAAGGAAAACAATTTAGTTAGGGAAGAAAATATCCCCAGGCCATTTCTCTCTCTCCTCTTGAAGATGTTTTCTCTTTCTGCCTTCCATTTGCTTCTCAATACAATTAGCTGGCCTTTTCTTCAGCTCATAATTTACTAGGAACTTTCTAATTGGCAGCCCACTCCTGAACTTTTCTGCTGACTTGACTCTGTGCCATATACTGTTTTCTGTATTCATATAGAATATATCAATTTTCTTGGTATTTATACTCTGCTTTTTAAAAAACTTAATATTCTACCATAACTCCTCATTATCAAGAGCTAATTTAGGTGTTTTATTAACTGTGGTTTGTGAAAGTTATGTATACTTATTGAAGGGAATTAAGAGAAAATATAGAAATATTAAGAGAATATTATCTAAGATTTTACCACTGAGAATATCTACTGTTAAAATAGTGAGTATTATCTCCTCTCTTGATTGTGTATGTATGCCATACATAAAATTTTACATTTAAATCCCATATACACATATCGATCATATATTACACTATATATATGTGTGTGTTATATTGTAAACAATTATGTATGTCACATAGTTTCATATTCACATAAGCTGGTTTCTAGTCTCAGCTGTATCAGGCATTTAATGGCATTAGTTATTTGTCTTCTTAAAGCCTCAGTTTTCTAATCAGCAAAATGGAGGTTCTGATTATAAATATCTTACAAAGCTGATATGAAGAAACAATTTCTTTTGGGGGGTTCAGAGACAGGGTTTCTCTGTGTAGCTTTGGAGCCTGTCCTTGCTCTTGCTCTGTAGACCAGGCTGGCCTCAAACTCACAGAGATCCATCTGCCTCTGCCTCCCCGTGTGGTGGAATTAAAGGCATGTGCCACCAACACCCATCGAAGATACAGTTTCTTAATACAGGTAAATGATTTAACTGTTTTAGGTACATACCAAGTTCTCCATTTTAGCTATTATCAAGGATAGTATCTGATTCAGCTATTCATCCTACTCAATGCCTAACATAATATCTGGATGATAATATGGACTTGATATGTTTGTTGATAGAAGGAATTAACTGCCAAAGTTTATTGTCATTGTTAAGAAAGTGGATCTTAGAATGTGTCATTTGAAAATAAATTAAAATTTGAGAAAAATTTGAATACTGTTCTTTAGTGTAACCGATGTTGTCCATCTTTATTTTTTAAATGGAGAACATACTTTATGTTGCAAAATATTTATTCAACCACATCCAGATTAAAAAATAATTTTGACAACAGTATTGCCTTCTGTCAAATAGTATAACAAATAATTCTCATGCCATTTATAATGAATTCTAAGATACCAGTATAAGTAAATTAATGTCATCAGAGCATTGATGGGATTATGTCTACTCATTGTTTATCTAAAGTGCTATAGGATAATTGAATGAATACCAAGGTCCTTCAGCCATGAAAATGATGAAGAAGGCTATAAATATCTTCACAATTTGAGACATATCTCATTCTCTTGATTACTGTATTGTGTGGTTACTCTGTGTGTGGTACTGGGTTAAGCATTATGGGAAAAATAATCATAACTAAGATTTGCTCTGTACCTTTGAAGTTTATCATCACACAGTAAGTCAGTACTATATGGCTGACTTCCAGTATCTTGTAGTCATCTCTCTTCATTTAGCAACCTTAGCAGAGTAACAGCTGAGTCGTTATGAATAAAAAATAAATTTTATTTTTCTGTCAGTATAAATTTTCACAGATACTACCTTGTGTGTCATGTGTGTCACACATATAGATTAAAAATAGTGTGTATATGCTTTCACTCTTCTTCTAGACCTATTTGGAAGTTGCTGACAATTCAGGCATGGTGTCAGTGATTATATGGAATGACTTGTGTCCAGAGTGGTATAAAAGTTTGAGAGTGGGCTTGATTCTTCTGCTTCAAAATTTTTCTGTGAAGAAGAGCCACCCATACAGAAGACAGCCAGACCCTGTGGATCCGCATATTAAACTAATTTCTACAATGGGTTAAGTATTCAATTAATTATTCTATCATAGCTATCTTGCTTTTACGAATTTGCAGAGTGCTGTATCAGCCAAAAGTCTGTAAAAATTAATTAAGCTATTAGAAACTGACGAACTTAAATTCCTTTACAAAAATTCAAGCACTCACTAAATTAATAAACAGATTAATTTATTAGTATATTTATTAAGAAAGATTATCTGGAACATTTATTGTTGACCAAAGAATGAGCTCCATTTAGGATATACTTAAATTTGGTTTGTAATAAGTTAATCACTTGAGTACATTTTATAGTTACTATTAAGTACTATACTGAAAGGATTTTTATTAAGTTAAAAATATTTTTATTGTGTATGTGTGTGAGAGTGAACCTCTCTCTTCTCTCTCTCTCTCTCTCTCTCTCTCTGTGTGTGTGTGTGTGTGTGTGTGTGTGTGTGTGTGTGTGTGTGTGTGTGTGTGTGTGCGCGCGCTTATAGAAGTCAGAGGACAACTTTGGGAGTCTTTTCTTTTCATCAACCGTGTGATCTGAGGATCAAGCTCAAATCATTAGGTTTATACAGAAAGTGCTTTTAACACACTGGAACACATTGAGCCATCTTGCTGACCCTTTTTAACTTTACCATTTAATGTCTTTACTTTTTTATATAATGGATAAACATGTATAAATCTAGAAAATATGAATGATATTGTGAAATGATATAAAGTAGATGGTATAGGGTATTACAAAATGTAGCAATATAAATATAACTACATAGTCTTTATCTTTATAAATACAGATGCATATGTAAGATGAATAAACATTTCAAGCAAATCCCAAACACTGAGGCAGTATTTATCTTAAGAAACATGCAAAATACAAATGGATTAGGATAAAGCTTATAATCCTTAAATTAGATTTTTGTAACTGTATTACTTGAAACAAAACTGAAGGAAAGAGAAAAGAACATGTAGTTTCTGCACATGTGAAGTTAAAACTTTTCACTTTGAAATAATTTCAAAATTACATTACAGTTGAATATTATAAAGAATTCCCACACCACCTTAAAATAATTTTGAGGTTTATTTTTGCTGTTTAATTCTTTCTCTTTATATACTCACACACACTTTCATTTGGGAGACAGTAACCATCATACATCATTGCATGGCTTTTTGTCCTTAACTGTTTATTAATAATCAATATGTATTTCTGAAGATCAAGAATATTCTAGCCATATGTGCTACTGCAACCTTGTAGTCCCATGTCTTGGGAGAATAAGGCAGGAGGACTACATGTTCAAGCCAACCTTGCTCTGTGGCAAGCCCTTGTTTCAAAAAAAGAAATAAAAAACCCCATTTCATTGCACAATCACAGTACAATTATAAAAATTAGGAAACAAATTCAACACATTATTATTATTTAACCTTTCACTAATATTCAAATGTTGTCAATTGCTGTAATCTTGAAAGTACTTTTGTTATTGTTTAAAACAAGATCTAACTCTGAAGCTCAAGTTCTCATGGAAATTACTGTGTAGGCCATCCTGGCATGAAACTTACATCAATCCAACTGCTTCAGCTTCCCAAGTGCTGGGATTACATGTGTGTGCCATGGATCCCAGCACAGATATTTTTCTAATTAGTATTGTAATCAAAGTTTTGATAGCCAGTTTTCAAAAAATGTTATAGAGGCATTCATTTAGTAAATTTTATAATTATTAGATATGCAGGTATTTTGGAGATTTTCAAAATTTTGTATAGCCTCAATCAAATTTTAAGTATTATTGGTGGCTTATAATAATTTTTCTAAACTTGTATTTCTGTGTCTCAATTTCTCAATTAATTCATTAAGCTTATTCAAAGAGAGGTAGCGTATGTTAATTGTCTCCTTAAACATGAGTCTATTTGGGACAACCTCACAATTCATTCTTAAAATCTTAACCATTTTTGCAAACATTGTTTAACTCTTGCTAGGAAGAAATTATTACCAAAATAGTTGGTGTATTTAGTCCTTTATATTACTAAATAGTTACCATAGAAAAGATGAGAAATAAATTTTTAGATACATTGGGGATTACTTGTGGAAATATAACAAAAGTTTGCCAAAAGAAACCTTTACTAATTGACAGCATACTCTATTACAATGAGGAAATTATAAATTATGTTTCATAAGCTGACATATCCAAGTGGCAAAATTGCTTTAGTAAGAATGGGGAATTCTTAGTCAATAGCAGATATGGTAAATGTATTTATGACAATAATAAATTACCAAATTCTCTTGATACCTAGCTCAGAGTTCCTTGTATTGGATTATAGTTTTATAGTTATTTTTAAATTAAAATATTTTTGAGAATTTCATACTTGACTACTGTACATACCTCTCTTTCCTTCCTCCAATTCCTTCTGTGTCCTCTTTCTCAACTTCATGACCCTTATCCAGTATTATTGTTATATACACATATACATAATAATAGTACATGTATATGTATGTATTTAACAATTATAGAACGTGTGTGTGTGTCCATTTACTATTGCTTGAATGTATATTTGTTTAGGGCTGACTAGTTGAGATGAGATAACCTATCAGAGAGCTGCAAAAAACTGACTCAGCAGTCATTTATTGCTTTTATCTCCTTAATTAGAGGAAGGGGTCTTGAAAAATGTACTCCATATATGTTGACATGTTGACAGGTGTTATTACTCGTGTCTTCTTTGGGCAACCATGTTGTTGAGAGCTCATATTTGGAGCTTCTCTGCCATGTCTGGAAGATACTACCGAGGAGTCGTCCTCCTGTTGCTCAGGCTCTCACAACCAGCCTCCCCTTCTTCCTCACAGTTCGATAAGCCTTCAGAGCATGAGTTTTGTTGTGGATATAATTGAGTGGAACTAGGTACCTACAATTCCTTTTATTTTAATCAGTTGTGGCTATCTGTAATAATTTCTACCTGTTCCAAAAAGGTAAATGCTACAACTATCTGTAATATAAGGGGAAGTATTCAGACAATTAGAAATTATGTTGGACTTTCCCGGCCAAATCTCAAATGGATGTTTCCTGTGCCTAGCATTATTTTGGCTTTGTTTTTTTGTTTGTTTTTGTTTTTTGTTTTTTTTTTTTTAGTTTTTTTTGTTGTTGTTGGCAGTGGTGTTTGTGGTGGTGGTAGTGTATGTAGCTATTTAGGAAAGCATTATTACCCCTCGTGGCTCCATTTAAACTGTGTGTGTGTGTGTGTGTGTGTGTGTACATTAATATAGTATGCAGCTTTTAAGTAAGCTTTTAAAGTTATACGTTTCACTATGACTTTAACAAGCATCTTTAGTCTTATTTATCTCTCCTTCCTCCCTTACACTCAGTATTCCCCTCCCTCTCTCCTCTAGTTTAACAGTTTAAGTCTCCTCCCTGTTTTCCCATTCCTCCCCCTTCATAGCACCTGGGCCCTGCTATCCCTGTCTCTGGAGCTCCTTCTCATCCACAGCCCCCACCATATTCCCTTCTTATTTTCCTACCTTCTGTCATAACTTCTGTTTATTTATTCAAATTTAAAGACTCAGAGCTCTGATCCACAAATAAGAGAGCATGAGCAGTTGAAAATATACTGAACACAGTCCACTGAATCAACTAAGCAGGGCTCCTAGGGACTCACAGAGACTGAGGCTGCAGTCACAGATCCTTCATGGGTCTGTGCTAGGTCCTCTGCATATACATTATTGTTGTGTAGCTTGGTATTCTTGTGGGATTTCTAACAGTAGGAGTGTGAGTTGTCTTACTCTTTTGCCTGCTTTTGGGACCCTTTTCCTCCTCCTGGGTCGCCTCATCCAGCCTCGATATGAGGGTTAAACCTAGTCTTATTGTAATTTGTTAGGCCATGTTGGATAACCCTGGGAGGCCTGCTGATTTCTAAAGAGAAACCAACGAGGAGTAGATCTAGAGGAACAGGGAGGTGGGGAAGAGACTGGAAGAAGTGGTCAGGATGTATTTATTGTATGAGAGAAGAATAAATTTAAAAAATAATACTAATAAAATTAAAATTGTGAATAAAAAAGGAAGTATTATACTGTGTGAGGTAAGCTAGACCTGGAGATTTAATTTAAATTATACTTCTTACATGTCTGAGAATACATCTACAAGTATATCTAATTCCAGTGGTTGCTTCTGAGCTTTAAAATCACATGAAAATTAAAACAGCACATAGTCAGTAAATAATCTGCGAGTATAAAAAATTAACAGTAAAGAGGTACACAACCATAAACCCACATTTTATGATTTTAAGCTGTCTTTGAAAATACAAAAAGATATTTTTGCCTTCAAATGTATAAATGCACATGCATAATTATTTTAGTCACAGCGACCCTTGATGTTTTAAATATATCTTTTAATATTTAAAAACAGTTTACTTCTGATTAATGTAGTAGCTCTCTTTATTTCCCATAAAATTCTAATTACTAGTAGACTTTTATTTTTCATTCTTTATCAGAGATCAATAAATTCTTGGTGTAAAATTCCAGAAAATAATTTAGTCTCAACTAGCCAAAGGGTTTACACTGTAGCCATTCAACTTTGCCTGTGAAAAGAGGAGGCATCTGTAGTTAATATGTAAATGAATGATTAGTGCTGTGTTCCTGTAAATTTTTAGTTCATAAAAATGAGCATCTAACTGCAAATTATAGTTTGTCTGGGGTGTATGTTTAATATATCTCAGCTCTGGCTGTACATTTGAGGAAGTTAGAGAGTTTTTTTAAACCACTGGACCTGTCCCCCTATCCCAAAGATTGTTTAAATTAATATAAGGAGATCAAGGCATGTGTATATCTTTAAAACTCCTCAGTTAATTCCAATATGCAACTGATTCGAGAACTGTATACTTATGATCTTTAAGAGAACCTGTCTTAGCTATTTAATGAAGGGAACACAGGCAGTTATGCTACAGACAGGAGAAACAATTGTAAATAATAGAATAATAGTCTACCATTAAAACATTAGCCCAATAGATAACAGACAGGTAAGGTAACAAATTACAGTAAAATGAAAAATTGAATGGCTGTAGCAAAAATGTGATAGGTAAAAGGAGAGGTTATGAATAGAAATGTAATTGAGGGAAAAGAGCAAGACAGTGGAGTAATTGGGAGGAGAGGAGAAAGTATAAAAAGGGTGAGGAAAAATAGCAGGACAGCTAAGTATGATGAGCATAATAAATGGGGAGGGTTATGTAGTCAGGTAGAGGCGGTTAGTAAGGACCAGACTTCTGCTACCATCATTGCCATTTGTGTGATTTTTGTTGTTAGACAAGCTATTGTGTTTATTTATCTCGGTTTATTTCTTGTATTTATATATAAGGTCCAAGTTATTGAAAAGCTAAATAATCACTATAAAAGACCAAGTAAAGTTATAATAATGAAACATCTCTTGTAAAACTAAGGATACATTATTCCTCACAGGCAATATATGGCTTTATATATTGCCATTCTTTTCTGCCCTCTTTTCCAAAAGTAATATTCATGAAATTGCCAAATAATAAATGCTTTTGAGGTCTTGAGATTTGTAGACCATGTTGCATAATGTATAATAAAATTATTGTACTAAGTGTTTTTGGTTGAAAGATGTGTACTTGATTAGGAATCATAGTATTTCAGAGCAGAAAGAAATCTGTTCCTTGTAGTCAAATGTTTATATGTATAGTTTAATTCAGGGTTTCTTATAGTGCCTTAAAGAAAACCTTACCTGTTTGCATAAGAATGCATACAAAAATATTTATAACAACCCTTTTATAAGTTTAAAAACACGGAGATAATTCAGATATACAACAACACAATAACAGTTACCTAATTGTGGTAGTTTATCATATCTGGATATTATTTAGTAATGTGGTCACATAAATAAAAACTGCATAATGATAATACCAGTTGACGTGCCAGGATGGATGGTGAAATCTCTTAGATGAAGAGTTACAGCCAAATAATAGCTGCTGAGAAAGGGAGACGACCCATGATAGGTTTCCAAAGCTAAGTGGTCAGCCTTAAACACATATACATATGTGCAGTACCAAATGGATTTAACAAGTTATACGTATGTGTACATACATACACATATATAAAACAATAATTAAAAAATAGGAGGTCATGAATTTGAGAGGGGAACATGAAAAAAGTAGGAAGAGGAGAATGGGATGGAAATATAGTCCTTGGAATTCTGAAGAAATAGTTTTTACAAAAAATAAACATGAATAAACAATAAAATCTCTAAAAAGGACATTTCAAAGTATTCTACTCAGCCAGCATGAACTAAAACTTAGCAATGTTATATAGCATGGAAAAGGTAGTCCCAGAAGGGTGTGCCTGGAATGGTTCCATTCTAATGGTGTTCAAAACTAAAACCAAATTTCATTTGGGCAAGGCCATATGTTTGACAAAATATTTTAACATTAAGAAAACATTACTACACAAAACAAAAAGATATAGTTGTACTTTGTTGGGGAGGGAAATCAATATTATTAGCAGGTGACGGATCACTAATACTGGGTTTAATAGTGAGGACAAGTGTTCAGTCTAAACTGGACATAGTAGCTCACATCTTTAATCCTAGTACTTGAGAGGCAGAGGCAGGAGGATCTCTGTGAATTTGAGATCAGACTGGTTTACAGAGCCAGTTCCAGAGAAGTCAGAAATACACAGTGAAATCCCATCTCAAACAAAAATTTAACAGTGTTCAGTTAATGATTTTGCTTTGTAATTTATGCATATATATTAATGTAATATATTTGATTTTTCAGAAATCTGCCTGAATCTTCGAGATCCTCCAAATAACATAGTTATCATTCCGGAAAAGCAAGTGAAACCAGATTGGAAATTGCCAAAACTAACTAATAGATTTGTTACAAGGTAAAATAGTTCCTCGTAAAATCTCTTAAATATTATTCATTATATGTTAGTAACCAGAATGTAATGAATTATATCGTATTCAAATCCACCCCCAAATTAAGCTGTATCAGTTGTTCAGATAGGTATTTTCATTGTTATTACTGAAGGATGTTTGTCACTGTTTAAAGATATAACATCTATTTAACAATTATACTTTTCAGATCAGAGCTAGAAGATATGCCAGAAAAAGCCATCTGTGATGTAATTGGTGTGTTATCCTTTGTGGGAAGGGTGCAGCGGTCAAAAAAGAAAGGTGAACTCTTACATTTGAAAGTGTTAGTGAGTGTTTCGATGTGAAGAGTTTGTGTTCATATGCATACAATGACCTTCATCTATTTTACTGTTCTATCCACATAGATCAATATGAAGATTTTTGGTCATATCGCTGGATTCACATTGCTGATGGGACTTCAGAGGAACCGTTTATAGTGCATCTGTTTTCTACATCTCAGCCAGAAGTCTTTGAAAATATTTGCCCATGTACTCAACCTTTTTTATCTTTTTATTGTTAGAAATAGCAGTAAGAACTTAAAAATAGTAAAATGGTGGCTGGAGTGCTGGCTCAGTGGTTAGGAGTCTATGCTGCTCTTGAGAGGACCTCAGCACACCCATGGTGGTTCCCAATCATCCATAGCTCCAGTTCTAGGTTACTTGATGCTCTTCGGAGTCCTGTGGGCACTAGGCATGCACATAGTGCACATAAATACATGCCTGCAAAATACTCATATACAAGAAAGAATATAATGCTTTAAAGGAGAGTGAGCTGATATAGAGAAGTGGCCTGACAATGGAATAGAAATACAAATGATCTAAAAACATTTCAAACCTTTCCGTTTTGATATATTTCATAGTCTATATTAATCACCTGTTTATTCAGGAGTTATCTTAGGATTAAAAGTGCGCTCCTCCCTTCTTCCCATCACACTACCCACTGGTCCTCTTACTTTTCCCAAATTATGACCTTCCTACTTTCTTATCTTTTTAAAAATATAGGTTCTGCAGGGGCAGAAAAACCTGATTCATGCTTTCTGCATCTGGCTTATTTAGCTAAATATGGTCATCTCTAATTCCATCCTCTTTCCTGAAGATAATATGATTTGACTGACTAAATTATATGGTATAGTTATATATATATTATATATGGTTTTATATATATGTATAATTTCTTCACTTAACCCATTAATGGGTGCCTAGGCTTATTCTATATATCTTGGCTGCCGTGGATGCTGCAGTAGTAAGCATGGATATTCAAGCATCTCTTGTATGTTGCCTTTGTTTCGTTCAAACGGAAACCCAGTGGTTTTATGACTGAACCATAGGCAGCTCTGCTTCAGAATTTTGAGGAACCTTTATACTGTCTTCTCTTCCATAGTTTCTGGAATAATTACATTCTGACCAGCAATGCTTACAAATTGCTTTTGCTCCACACCCTTGCCAGCATTTGATGGTTTTTTGATTTCTTGATTGAAGCCACTCTGACTGAGCTGAGGTGGAATCTCAATGTAGTTTTTTAATAACATCTTCCTGATGACTAAGAATGCTCGATACTTTTGTGTACATTTATTAACCTTTTGTAGGTTTTTTTACTTTTTAAAAAGAGTTTTGTGTATTCCAGTTTCTGTGGTGCAGGAGATCAAAGCCAGGGCTTCCTGAATACTGGACAAGCACTCTACCAACTGAGTTGCATCCCAAATCCCCACGTGTACTTCTTTTGTGAAGTGTATTTACAATTAATTTACCCTTTTGTTGATCAGATTACTTGTTCTTTTTGATATGTAGTTTCTTAGTTCTTCATATGTTCTAGATATCAATTCTCTGTCAGAAAAATAGCAGGCAAAGATTTTCTTTGATTTTTAAACTGTCTTTATTATGTTTTCTTAGCTGTGCAGAAGCTTTTAAACTAGATTCAATTCCCTTCGCCAATTCTGGCTATTATTTGTGAAGCTGCTGGGCTCCTGTTCAGAAGTAATTGCATATACCTGCATCTTAGTGTTCTTCTTTACTAGTCAGAGTTTCAGATTGATTTTAAAAGGGTGTTGAGTGACTCAGACCGGTCCTATTGTCTGTTGTGTCTTTTCCTCATTCCATCTTGATTGCTGTCACAATTTATAACCCCAGTTTGCATGGTGGTCTAAATCATTCAGGTTCAGCAGATCACCTCATACCATGGAGCTCAGTGAGCCACTAAAGCCTTTTACTTCCCTAAGTTCCCTGATGGAGTAACTTTCTTCTGTACCCTGCTGTAAACACAGTCATATCCAGCCTGGTAAACTGAGTCCCAAAACACTGCCCCTCACATGCCCTATCTTTTCTGTGTTATATCCATAGGCACCTATGTTGGTTTAAAAGAAAATGCCTCCCAAAGGGAGTTGCACTGTTCAGAGTTGTGGTCTTGTTAAGTGTGCTCCTGTGTGTGTGAGCTTTGAGGTTTCTTTTCCTCAAGATTCCCTAAGTGTGACAGTCCGTCTACTTCCTGTTGTCTGAGAGTCTAGATGTGGCACTCTCAGCTCCAGCCTGCACGCTGCCGTGCTCCCTATTCTGATGATTACGTGCTGAACCTCTGAAACTGTAAGCGAGCCACCCCAATTAAATGTTTTCTTTTTTTTGTTTTTTCGAGACAGGGTTTCTCTGTGGCTTTGGAGGCTGCCCTGGAACTCGCTCTGTAGACCAGGCTGGTCTCAAACTCACAGAGATCCGCCTGTCTCTGCCTCCTGAGTGCTGGGATTAAAGGCGTCATGGTGTCTCTTCATAGCAATAAAAACCCAAAGTAAGACAGCACTTTAGCCACTGATAACCACGTGTCCCTAATGACTCTTGTGAACAGATCCATCAGGAAAGGATAGTGATTTCTCTCACCTTATGTAGTCTTTGTTGCAAGATGGGGGGAATAATTACATTGCTTGATCTCTGCTTCCACAGCGCTCAGACTGGTCTTATGTCCCTCTTGTCTTACAGCTTCATAATCAGACATTGAAAAACTCATTTCTTTTGTAGAAGTCTTTCCCATTCAAACAAAGGCATACCATTCCCTGATTGTCATAGTTTTATTACTGGGCCATTATTCAGTCCCTGTCTGCATGCTGAATTGTGGACTTCTCCTTCCCTTAGAGGTCAGGTACTCTCTTCCTTTGCACTATCTAGTTCTTCCAATGGTCCCCCAGTTCTTTGCCTCCCAGTAAAGGTTCCTTAGCACAGATCTAACTTTATTCTCTTCCTCATGCATCCTGCCCACTGGATGATGAACCTCTTGAGTGTTGTGGTAAATGCCTGAGATGTAAGAACTTGTGAGGTACAGGTAGGAGGATCAGAAGTTCAAGATCATACTTGGTTATATATTGACTTTAAGACCATCCTGAACTACATACCACATTTAATTGTGTGACTTACAGTTTCTGAGGTTTAGTTCATGGTGGCATGAAAGCAGACATGGTGCTGGAGAAGGAAATGAGAGTTAATGTATCTTGACTTACAGGCAACAGTAAGTGAGTCACTGGGCAGTATCTTCAGTATATGTGAGACCTCAAAGCCAGCCTCCACAGTGACACACTTCCTCCAGCAAGCCCAGGTCTATTCTAGCAAAGCCATAACTCCAAATAGTGCCGTTTCTTGTGAGCTTATGGGGGCCATTTTCATTCAAACTACCACACCAGCTAACACCACTACCTCCCTTTTTTTCCTCTTTTACTACTAACTCAGAATATAATACAGAAGATAGCATGCAGTTCTTTTTCTGTGTGTAATTCTTCTGCTCATGTAAGCTCTTTCTAGGCAAAGAGCTAAACTTTACTTGCATGGTTTATGCTCACAACAAGCCACAGCCTGCTTATGATCCCATCCCTTATATTTTGGGTCATTTGGGCTTTATCCCCTTACACACATTCAAAAGTAGGTTTTTGTTGGCGAACAAAAATTTCTCCACAGCATAAGTACAAATTTATTTTCTATCTCTCCAATTGCTAGCTGTTTCTTCTGTAATACTGAAAATAAGGACAATCCATTCAAGTTATAAGAATGATTTTACATTTTAAAATTAATTACGTTCATTTGCCTAGTAAATCTGAATTGGCATCTTAAGAAAAGTTCTCTCTTTGTTAAGGCTTGAGGGGAATTTCCAGTAGATCCTTCTCTTTGAAATGCAAGTACAATTTCAAACGTGTTTTTCATTTTCTACAGTGACATATTTTGTTTGTACCCAGTTGAAAGTTGTTAGGAATTACAATCAAATACCTAATCTGCTTTACCTCACCACTACAAATGAGAGCCGAATGTTTATTACTGGTGAGTACATTTATATCTTCTTTATTGGAAATGTAATATATAGTCTTTTAACTTGAGCCATTTAGAATATGTTAACTTCTACCATAAAACATTCAATTTCAGGGTAACTTTATTTTGACATCATTAGAACTATAGAATATTTTAATAAACAATATTTGGCTTATGAAGTAGATTACTTCTATATTTCTTCTTGTAGGAAATGGTTTCATGATGCATTAGAAAATTTCATTTATGTCAGTTGGTTAACTTTGCTTGCTACTTCATATAGAAAAATTGCTTGTTACATTGAAGATTGTTAGACTCAGTAGCACAATGTAGAATCAACATGATTTTCACACTTGGTCTTAGCCAAAAAACCAAATAAGTGTTCAGTTGACATTATTTTTACACTGTACCAAATAAAAGTGTGGGTCAAAATTTGGCCCCCAAATCTCACATTTAATTTATATTAATAAGTCTCATTTGTCTACAAATAAGTTGGGCCCTCTTTATATGTGGGTTACACATCCTTTTAAACTCAGACAACATCATATCACAAGTATTTGGGAATATGTATATTCCCCCAAATAAATAAATAAATAAATAAATAAATATTATAAACTTCATTCTTGTCATTATTTCCTGAGCAATATAACTATACTTTGTGTGCTTTTGTAGTGTTCTGGGTATTAGAAGTAGCTCAGAGCTTCTGAAAATTATCCAGGACGATGTGCATTGATTATATCCATATAGAATGACATATTATACAATGAACTTGAACATCTATAGATTTTTTTATATATACAAGGGTCATGGGAGGAATCAGTAACTCATAAATACTGAAGAACAGCAGCAATTTTTCCTCCTTAAAACCAGTAAGATCAAAATTTCCAAATGAAAGAATAGTATAGAATGAGGTATTTACCAGAATGCTACCATACTAATAATTAACAAATATGTTGAGTTTCATGAAATGTGTAGCACATGTCTTTATCAATATTTTGTAAATATTAACAATGCCTGATGTAAATGTGCCACTTTTAAGTCTGCCTTAACAACATGAATTTAAACCCCAACCTATGTCAATGTATATTTTGGTTCTTAGATTACACTATCAAGTTACTAAGTTATCAAAAAACAACTTTTCAGAGGATGCCAACCATTTAGAATAGAGTTTTGGGGTTTTTTCCCCTGTGATCCTTATTATCATATAGACAGTTTTAGTTTTAAATCCAGTTGATCTCTGATGTTTGACTTTCTTAGAATGTACTTACTGTCATTGGATAAATATATGCTACACAGTAGATCAGTAAAATTGCTATATACTACATAGTAAAACTGTTTTTTATTTAAAATGAGTCTGTTTTACAATGTTAATTTTTCCACAAAAAAGTCCACCCAGTGTATTTCAGTGACCACTTTATTTCTCTTTTTATTGTTTGCTTTGTTTGTATTTCTCCCTTCTTTCAAAAAGGTCATAGAGGCCAGCCGTATACGTATGATACGAAGGTAAAAAGTTTTATTCAGTGGATTAAAACAAAGCCTGATTCGGAAGTGAATAACACTGTTATTGGTGGATATTACCCTTATCCACCAGTGCCAGAGACATTTTCCAAGTATAGTCGCTTTATTAAAGGTATTGCTATAATTCCCAGTTCCTCTATTTAATTCTACTGGTAGTCATGTATATTCCCTGCTCTTACAGGAGTGAGCCTATGTGTATCAAACCTTAGTGAGAATAATTTTGTCCAAATGTAGCTACAAGAGGTTACTGTTTTTTTTTATTTTATTAAACTAAGGAATAAAGAATGTAGAAGATGGAAGGCTAACTTGGGGATACTATCTTGATTTAATGTCATTAAGATCAGCTCTATCAGTGAAAACCTCATTCTAATAAATTACATAGGAAGAACAGTGTTTTACGAATGAGGTGCTACACAATCTGATATCCAGATGTTGACAGCTATGCGATGTTTCTCTTGTATATAACATGATTGTTGATATAAATAAAAAGTGATGCTAGAGTAAATGGGGTGCTGAATTTGGAATTGAATTAATAGTGAAAGGATTAACATTAATTTCCTTTTAAGTAGAATTAATATAGGGCAGTTAAAAAGTTTAAAATATATGTTCATTTTTATAGCTGGAGATAATTGCATGTTTGGGAAAAGTAAACAGAAATGCTGAGCTATTACCTATCTATATGTTGCTATCCTCTTGGGTGATGTATGTTAGCAATATGTTGTAAATGATTGAAATAATGAAAATGAGCATTTCTGTGCAGTGACTAACCAATAACTTCCAGTTTGAGATATGATCTATAAATTATAATCAATCTGCAAAATTTCTGTTACAAATAAAGACCAGACTAGAAACCTATATCACAACTGAACTGATACATGTATTTTGCATATTTTTATAAAAAATACTTAAGAGGATACCAAATATAAGTACAAAGTCTCACAAAATTCAATTAATATGGCAGGTTCACATTGTAAAGCTATGTTGAAAATCTCATTTTTCTGTTAATCATATCTTCTCTTCCAAACTTACAATTTCTTGGGACTTGTTTTTTTGCAGCTAAGTCGCTCTTGACAGCTATAAGTGAAGTGAGGAAGGTGATTGAAGACTTGCAGTATAGGGAACAAAAGCGCATTGCAGTTCAGGGGATAATTACTGCTATAAAGTACATCCCCCATAACCATTCATCTGAAAGTGCCTCAGCATCAGAAACATTTCGGGTATGGTGCCAGAGGACTCCTAGTACATCTCTGACAGCACAATGATCATAATGACCATTTGTACCTTATGAATTAACTCTTAGTCATAATCTGAGAAAAAAAGTTTTTGTTCCTATTTTGTTTACTTTTTCTGTAATTTGGGTGTGAGTGACAAGCCTCTTCATTTCTTGAGGCATCAGATCCTATCTTTGTTTTCTAGCTAGTTCAAGTCTATTGTGTATTGTTTAATGGCTAGGCAGAATATATGAGTAATTGTTGTGTTAACTTCTTTTAGACTAGAGTAACAAAAAAACTTCCATGAGGAATATTTCAATTCTGTATCTGTAATGGTAGCTTTACCCACGTTCTGTAAGACGTAGCAATAACTCTGATAAGAGAAATAGTCTACTTGAAGAGTCTGATACTGGAATGTTCATATCATCAAGAGTTCATTTTCCCTGTTCATCTTTTTAAACACTATGTCTAGGAGTATTACTGCATATGTGGAAATAATCTTTTAATCCATCTGGTCTGTTATAATACAATAAGAGAACATTTATCTTCCTTAAATGAATACTAAGTAGATTAAAAGTATTGAAGTTAGTATAGTTTTTCAGAAGGGAAATGGTTTTGTGAGTTTGTTTTAAAACATTTTTTTCTAACTATTGGTTTTAGAGTGATAGCCAGCCTTCAACCTCTCATTCAGCTAACAGAGTTCATCATCATGAAAGAGGTAGTAAAAGACCTCCAGATGACAGGCCAGTGGGTTCTTCGTATTTTCAATTTGCACCTTTCATTTTGAATCTCTGCGCAAAAAGAAAAATTGTGCAAGACGAATGTGCTAATCCGTAAGTCATTTACATTATGTACATATACACTTTGATTTTAACCTGGAATTCTCCACCATGCCTAACTACCTAATTTTCCATTTAAAAAATTATATTTACTTCATTTTCCATGTATGAGTGTTTTACCTTAATGTATGTATGTATACTACTTGTTTACCTGGTGCTCATGGAAGCCAGATCTCCTGGAACTGGAGTTACAGATAATTGTTAGGTACCATGTGGGAGCTGAGAACCAAACCCAGATCCTCTTCAAGAACAAGTACTCTAAACCACTGAGCCCCCAAATTTCCCTTCCTTATAAAGACACCATTAATACTGGATTTGGCAAATACTCTATTCCAGTACAAATTCATGTTTTCTTTAGGTAAAATCTCATTATGTAGGCCAGGCTGGCCTGTGACCTCTAGCTTTATTTATCCTCCTATGTGCTGGAGTTAGAGACATGAACTACTGTGTAAGGCTATGAACTCACCTTAACTAATCACATCTGTAATTACTCTGTTTCCAAATTAGGTCTTGTTCTGATGTACTCAGAACTTATGAATAGAGCAGATTCCCAGTTCATAACTCCCATTTTCCTGCCGCCCATCTCTAAATTCATGTACTTCACACATGAAAACATTCACTCTATCACAATAATTCTTAAAAAGTCCTAACCTACACTGCCCTCAACTTTAGTCCCCAATCTCAATGTAAAGAAAATCCAAGTGAGGCTTCCTGGTGAAAAATTTTCAACTATTAACTGCTAAAAAGAGACCTGTTATACATCCATATCCCAGTGGTGGAGCAGGACTAGCATAAAAATTTGCATTCTATAAAAAGAGAAAGTAGAATGAAATTGGGAGTATATGAATGCCATTTGACTTTCAAGGTATTCAGATGTATTGGTTGGATCAATGCCATGTCTCCCAGGCCTACTAAGGTAGCTTCATTCACTTAACCCTAGGTGTTTGCCCCACACTCTGGGGCCAGCGAGATGACCACCCCCCTTATCAGCATCATTTTTGCCATTCCTTCTTTTTACACAACTCTACTTATTTATTTATTGTTTAAAATGCTAATAACAATACAAAGTAAGGGATTTAATTGTGGTATTTTTATGTATACCTTGTAACCATCTACTGCCTCTGACTCTTACAACTCTTTCCATCCTTCTGCAATGGTCCCTGAGCCTTGGGAGAGGTTGTGATATATATTTTCCATTTAGTATTGGACATTCTGTAGTCTCTTATTCTCTGCAATGTGACCAGTTATGCAACTCTGTGTTAGTGATAATTTACTTCAAATAGAAGATTATCAGATGAGGGTTGAGAGATGCATCTGTCTATGGGTATATTGACACTTCATTCAAAGGCAGTTTAATACCATATCCATTTAGCAGTATAATAAAAGTTGGTTCTCCCTTAGGGCCTATACCTGTTTGTCAATATGTTCATATTGTGGAGCAGGGCTTAAAGCTATAAGAAAGTGTTTGGAAGCTGGGCATGGCGGTGCACATGATTTCATTTCCTAGCTGTTGTAAACAGTGACATAGTAAACATAGATATGCAAATATCTTGGCCACAGAATATAGATATGCAAATATCTTGGCCACAGAATATAGAGTTCTCTGAGTAAATTCCCAGAATGGTATAGCTTAGCTATGGAATTTGTGTTTTTAGTTGTGACTATTTTCCACTATGATTTCTATAGTGATGCCACCAGTTTACATACTTCCCAGACATTTATAAGTTGATAAGGAGCCTCTCTTCTCCCCCCAGATCCTCACCAACATTTGTTGACACTTGCTTGTTTAATGATAGCCATTCTGAGTGGGATGAAATTGCACCTCAAAGTAGATTTAATTTCCCCTATGTCTAAGGATGTTTAACCATTTTTAAAATTTTTATTGGCCATTTGCATTTCTTCTTTTAGAAAAACTCTATTCAACTTATAAGTTTTAGATTTGGGTGATAAATATTTTTTGGTTTTTCTAGAGGGTTTCTATGTATTGTTTTGGAGCCTGTCCTGGAACTCTCTCAGTAGACCAGGCTGGTCTCGAACTCACAGAGATCCGCCTGCCTCTGCCTCCCGAGTGCTGGGATTAAATGCGTGCGCCACCAACACCTGGCTTGGGTGATAAACTTTTATAGTTATTTTTATATTCTGGATCTTGATCTCCTGCATGAACTATATAAGACAGATTTTCTCCTATTCTTTAGGCTGTCTCTTTTTTGATAATTATGCAGAATATTTTTAATCTCATGTATTCTCATTTGTCAATCCTTTGGGTTATTTCCTGTACTACTGGAGTTCTTTGTAGAAAGTTCTTTCTCTCTTATAGCTCATTTCCTGCCTATAGAAGTCTGACATCTTTTCTTCATTTCATCCTGTCTATATTTCCTCTGGTATTCTAGACTAGCAAACCTTCTTTTAGATAGTTGATTGGATCTCTGAAACATAAGCCTGATCTTTTAAAATTAATTTTAAATTTTATTATACATTATATATTGTATGTGCCTATGTGTATGTCCTATATGTGGTTATACACGTGTCATGGTATACACATGGAGGTCAGAAGAGAACTTCCAAGAGTTGTATGTTCCCTTCTACCATGTGGGTCTTAGGGATCAAACAGTATTGGTGGCAATTTCTATCTGCTGAGCCATCTCTCTAGGTGCATATTAATTTTAGTGTACAAAATAATGGATTTCATTATATCTTTTTATTAATTTTTTTCATTTAATTTACTCACCGACCACAGTTTCCCATTCCTCCTCTTCTCCTACTTCCTCTCCCTACTTCCCGTTTACCAATGATAAAAGATACCTCTCAGGGGGAGGAACTTGGTCCTGCCTCAACTTGATGTGCCATGCTTTGTTGATTCCAATGTGAGGCCTGCCCCTTTTGGAACAGAGATGGAAGAAGAGTGGATGGGGGGGGTAGATGGGCGGTATCTTTCATTTCTTCTATCTCATTTTGTCCCTCCTCATTGTCCAGTTCTTCCCATGGAATCCAAGTTTGTGTATCCCTAGAGAGGCTATTTAGCACAGATATAATTTGTGCTCTTTTCTTCATGCCCCGTTAAGAAATGTCAAGCCAGTTCTTCTATCCTATTCAACCTCCTCCATCTTTTATTTTTCCTGATAATTCAGTGTCTATTACAGAGAATAGCATCCACATTCACATGTTTTTTTCTTACTGTATTATCTCCATTTCATAAGCAGTCATTCTAAACAGAAAACTCAACTCAGTTACTTATCTTATTGCCCAGAACAAGGGCCACACAACTGACACCACAACTTATTTAAGATCCTGTCCCATACATGTTACTTTTGGGGATCATAATATATCCTTCATCAACCATTTGAGGGACATCTCCATACTTATGATAGGGGCCATCCTTCAAGGGTTCTTACACTCCATACCACATACAGGAAAACAGTCACTCTGGAATTCTCAAGGGGTGCCCTACTGTCAAATACAGCAGCATTAGTTGCATGTTATTTCACCCATACGAGGGATAATGCAAGGGTTATTAAAGCAGGAAGGCACACCATTCCATACCACACAAGGAAGAACAACCATACCAGAATTCTCCACAGAAACACTCCACCCTCAGGTGGCTTAGCTTCAGTTCAATGTCTCAAAGCCCACAACAGAGCAATGATACTTCTCATTTTTAATTCTGTTGTGTCCTGTATTAAGGTGCCAAGTGTTGGGTGAACTTTTCTGGGAAGATAACTATCTATCCCAGAGTAATGATTCTTTCCAGGCCTAGTTTGTTGAATCAGTGATTTTAATTAGGATTATTTACAGGCTCATAGATAAGGGGTCATTTACTGGAACATGGGAAACTTATAATCAGCTACACCACTGAACCTCCCCTTTCCTAGCAACTGTTAACTGCTTATAGATTTTGGGGGAGGGGCAGGACCCTTTCAGCCCCATCACTCCATGAAAGAAGATGTGGTACACAGAGGACAACATCCAGCAACACTGTTTGATTCTGTTTATTCTGGTACTATTTTAGCATAGAAAAGAAGTTAGCCCTAACTAAAAATCAGGGGAAGATTCTATAGGAAATAATAACTGAGTTAAAATTTGAAGGGCAAATAAGAGTTAATTGTGCAGAAGAAAAAGGGCATAGAATTGTTCCTTGCTGAATGAAATAAATGCAGATCTGAAGTACTATGGAAGTAACAAAGTAGAAAGTGAAGTTGTAGAATGGGAGAGGTTGATTTACAGAACTGTTGAAAACATGAGAACTCATTTTGAAATTCCCATGATAACAGAACAAAAGTGTGGTCATCTTTAGTTGATATATAATGAAGTTAAATGTTATCTTTTACCATAAAATGTAACTCCACTGGTGTGTTTGAACTATATTATGTATGGAAATTTGGTAATTATTTGTATATTTAATATATTACTTAAAGAAATGTATTGAATTAAAATAAATTCTGAATAGACTCAATAAGGTTTTTCTCCAATATCAGTCTATTTTTTACAATTGGTAGTTATCTTATTTTTTAATCTTTTGCAGGGTTCCTATGCCTCAGCCACATTCTCCTGCACAAACTAAAGGAAGCAAACAGCACTCACCAAGTCCCTTCCACCGCTCACCAAGTCCCTTCCACCGCTCACCAAGTCCCTTCCACCGCTCACCAAGTCCCTTCCACCGTATGTTGCTGTTTTTGTTATTATTCTTTACAAAAGTTTGTGTAACTCTGTTGCATACACATGAGTATTTTATTTTATTCACCAGTATTGTTTTACAGCTCCTACTAGCAAAAGATAAAGTGTTTCATATTAGTGTAAGTCACCATGAAAAGTAATGTTTAGTTATATCTGAAAACTGCATTCGACTATAATAATGGCTGCCAGACTCTAGGAATAGGAATACAAGCATGGAGATATAATGCTTATAAGGTATCATTGTACAATTAACAGGAATTGCTTCTAGTGTTCTATAACTCATTAAAGTAACTATAGTTGACATTAATTGGGTATTTACAAATGGATTCAAACACAAATGCTAAGTGTATGAGGTGATAGATCTTCCAGTTACCCTGATCTCATCATTATACATTGTATAGATATATTTAAGCATTGCATTGTACGATATTGGCTAGAAGGAATAGATTAACCCCAGACACAGAGCAGAAACACTGGCAAGCAGAGAGGAAGGTTAAGGTTGAAACCTTCACGAAGAAGGACAAGTGTGTGTGCAAGGGAAGTGGTCACAATCTCATCAGAGAGTCCTTCTGACCATGGCCATGTGATAAGTGTGTGTTCCCAATCCTGTCTGCTGCAAACAGTGAGCTGCTTTTTCAACTAAAAGAAATATTTCTATCTATATACCTAGCATGTTTTAACCTCATCTTATGAGTGATGTTCCAAGAAACATCAACTACTGAAAGAATTAGATGTATTCAGAAAGCCAGTTTTGCCATATGAATCTATGTCGTATTATTCATCTCACTAAAAAATCCAAATGTCACATTATTTGATCACTATCCAACAGTATTTGCTGAATATCTTTTATATTCTAAAGTTCTACAAAAGCCCACAAAGTATAAACTCCCATTTAGCACATTTAGCAGCATATATCCTTCTGTCCATTTGGAGGTGCTCTTGTATACACTCTTACAATGTAACTAGTGTCACTACAAAATGAATGCAGGTTTTCTCTACCTTAAAAGTGACTTTCATCAGCATTTTTGTCTTAATGTTCCCTTTGAATTTTTTTCCTGCTACCTGATACCACTACTAGATAAAGATCATTTGTATCAATAAATTAACTAATGATGAATTTTTTTTGTTTTTTTGAGACAAGGTTTCTCTGTGGCTTTGGAAACTGTCCTGTAACTAGCTTTGTAGACCAGGCAGGTATCAAAATCACAGAGATCCACCTGCCTCTGCCTCCCAAGTGCTGGGATTTAAGGCGTGTGCCATCAATGCTGGCCCTAATGATGATCTTTAAGAGTAAAAGTAACCAGAAAGATATTTATAAGTTTGTTCCTTTGGTAGCAGCAAATAAGAGTTTTTTATTTAACATGAGAATGGTCAAATAGATTTTATTTAAATTGACAGTCAGAATAGGTAAATCTAAGCAAGTCTTTGGTTTTTTGTTTGTTTGCTTCTTTTGTTTTGTTTTAATTTTGCCGTAAAGGATGCTTTCAAGGGAGACAAGATCAAATGTATTGTTCTAAGCAAGTCTAATTTTCTTTCTTTGCTATTAGGTCAACTGAAATTAGGGTTGGTTTCTGAAGTTATTTCATAATACAATTTAGTACTGGTAGAATGTCATTAGAATTATTTGCTTTAAGTGGAATCTGAAACTTAGGAATCATCTCTATGGCTTTAAAAATTTAATTTTAGCCCTTTATCTCCATCTTGTCTTTAGGTGTGAATTTTATGAGACTGTAATTCTGTTCCATATTATCTTCTTAAATATCATGGGTCAGTAAAGTGTTCCAAAGTTTTTTTGGTATGGTTTTTATTGATTGTTAACTGGTATGAAATGTTGGAATTTTTGTGTTTATGCATGATCTGTGTGTGTGTGTGTGTGCACGCAGGTGTGTACTTATAAGTGTGCATACTGATGCATATGTGCTATTGCGCATGGAATTCAGAGCAGAACTTTGAATATCAGTCCTTACCTTCCACCTTGAGACAGCATCCCTTGTCATTTGTCACTATGTACACCAGGGAGGTTATCTGGGTTTTGACTGTTCCAAGAGTGTCCTGTTTTTCCTCCCTCACCACCATAGGAACACTGGGTTCACACACACACACACACACACACACACACACACACACACACACTTTACTTGGTTCACAGAATTGGAAATTGACCCTCACACTTGTGTGAGTAGGATTATTTCAGCTTACAGGTTACAATCCATCATGGGAGTAAGCCAGTGAAGTAGCACCTGGGGGCAGGAATTGAAGAAGCAGAGATGAGGAAGGAATGCTGCTTACTAGCTCACTTCCTTGCTGTCATTCAGTACCTTTCCCATATGGCCCAGGCTCACCTACCTAAGGGTGATACCTGATTCTTCCTAAATCAATTGCTAATCAAGATGTCCCACTGACAGGCTTGCAGGCCAGTCTTAGTATGTTTGAAAATTTTCCACAGAAAAAGTAAATATAAAACATTAAAATACTTCAGCAGCTATGAAAAACATATGTATAAAATATGTAATTCTGGTTAATAAGTATATTGATAATGCATTAGTTTCTGTTTACCCATTTTTCTGTTTATTTAATAAAAGGAAAAATAAACCTGAGAGACTTGTGTCCATGTAATACCTAATTAATTCATAAAATATCAGTGGAGTTTTGGCAAATTATCAGACATATAGGCAAAGATCGGTTGTAGCACAAGTTCAGAAAGAAAAAAATTCATACATTATTCAAAATACAACCAAGTGTTTTTGTTATGGGTACAAGTTTTAGCCAATTGAAAGTCTTCATTAACCAGTCAGCAACTACACTGGGTGTTTGTGTTCCCAGTGTAGCTCCAAGCCTTTCCTAGGGTGAACTTTTATGCACAAAGAAATCCTGAGTTGACATATTTCAGTTAACAAGAAGTTAACCAGAAGTATAATTACAGAAGCTAAAAAGCAAGGTTAGTACATTTACAGAATTTTCCAGAACTATAAACTTTGATGGTTTAGGCCTTTGTTTTCATTTTGTCAGGTGGTGCTGTCTACATGCTAAATTTCACAGTCTGAATGGTATTTCCACCATGGAGTCAGTTGTACTAAGGTCTGGGGCACTGTTAGAGTTTTGGTGTGTTGCAGCATAAAGCAAGAGGCAGGAAAGAGTCTAGTGACTATAGAAATGTCAAAAGACTAAGTCAATGAAGGACATATGATATTATATGAATAATCTTGAAATTTAGACATCAAGACAAAGAGTTTGAAGATAATAAACAGAACAGCATGGTTTTGTTTTCATTTTAAGACTTTACTGTGTTGTCTATATAGAAAACAGATGTGAAGAAAACCAGTCAGGAAGTGATGATGAAGGGCAGGAATATATAGTAGTAGTCATAAAAATGAAGCACAAGAAAAGAAAGGAGACATAATTTTGAAAATATAACCAATTTAATCTAGATAGTGTTGTAATTGAAAGTGGAAAAATGATGAGTCACTGTTAAAACCTCAGGCATCCACATTTTTTCCTCAATTGAAAGGACTGAGAAATCCATCAGAAGTAAGCAGCTTTGTTAATTCGCAAGGTTTGAAATAATGAAATTCCATACACTCTGTGGTTAGAACAGCAGACATTTGTTTCCACACAGTCTGGAGCCTAAAAGCTGTGGTGTAGGTTAAGTTTCTCCTGAGGTCTGTCTTCTTGGCTTATGGATGGTTGTTGTGCTGTCTTTATGCTAGTTCTACTGTGTGTATATATCCATACCTGTGTGTCCAAGACTCCTCTTTATGTGAGGACACCCATCTCACTTGGGACCCAAACTGATAGGTTTGTAGTCAATCAACCCTTTAAAGATGAATTTGTAGATGATACATAATCATGGGTTCACAGGTATCACTTGTATGCTGGGTTAGATTCCTTCAGATAAATGCCTAGAAATGTTATAGCTGAATCATAAAATATGAACATCTTCAGTGAGTTTGACACCAGCTATACTATAGTCCTACCAAAGAAGGGTTCCTTCCTACCTACCATTTTCATAAATATGTGTGCTTTATTTTCTTTTTTCTCTTTTTAAAATATTTTATTTAAATTAGAAACAATCTTATTTTACATATCAATCCCAGTTCCCTCTCCCTCCCATCCTCCCATGCCCCCCACCGATCCCTGTCCCATCCCCCATCCACCCCTCCATCACTACCCAAGGAGGGTGAAGCCTTCCATGGGGAATCATCAAAATCTGTTACATCATTTGGGGCAGGGCCTAGGCCCTTCCCTGTGTATCTAGGCTGAGGGAGTATCTCTCCATGGGGAATGGGTTCCCAAAGTCCATTAATGCACTAGGGATAAATACTGGTTTATTTTCTTAATGATAGCTATTTTGAGTGGGGTGAAATGGAATCTCCATGTGTATTTTATTTGTATTCTCTGTTAGGTAAAGATATTGAATATATTTTCACATATATTGCCTGTTTTTACTGGTTTGGGGAATTGCTGCTCACTTCATTTGCCCAATAATTGATTCTGGTTAATTGATTTGGAGTATCTAATTTTTTGAAGTCTTCATGGGTTCTGGATGTGAATCTCCAAGATATGCTTTTTTATGTGTGTTGGTCCTATATCCTGCCAACTTTCTAAATGACTTTAGTAGCTGTAGTTACTTTTCTCTTGATTCTGACAGATTCTTATACATGGCATTATATAATCTGCAAGTAAGGGTAATTTTGTTGTTGTTTAAAGATTTTGAGTCTTACATAGGGAAGCCAATCTGAAATAGAATGTTGACATTTGAAATGTTTTAAAGGATTATTTAATTTTATGTGTATGGACAGGAATTTGGCCAGCATGTAAATCTGTGCACAGCATGCATGCCAGAAGAGGCTGTTGATTCCCCTGGAACTGGAGTTACAGATGGCTGTTAGCTGCCATGTGGGTGCTGGGAATAGAAACTCGATCTTCTGAAAGACGATAAGGGCAATCTTACTGTCCCTTTCCAACTTAAGGACATCCATCTCTTC